CCCCTTTGGTCCAATCATTCATCTACTTGACTGTGCACTCTTCATCAAACTGAAGCATTAAAAATACACAATTTCCCTGTTTCTTTGAGTCTTCATTTCTGAAGGATCCCATGTTGTGTAAAACTTATCTTAAATAAATGTGTATGCTTTCCTCTTATTAATCTGTCTTTTATTATAGGGGTCTTAGCCACGAACCTAGTGATGGGTGGAGAAAATATATTATTCTCCCCTACATAGCAAAACCCTCCCTTCTTTGAGCTTTTTCTTCCAGATCTCTCACAGCTGAGTACTTCTTCTTCTGTATATATTCTTTCCTTGCCCTTTATGAGCCTGCATTTTCCAGGTTTTCTTCCTTCCTCGTTGGTGGCTCCTCTGCAGTCTCTTTTGCCAACTTCTCTTCCTTTACCTCTCCATTAATTATGAGGGTTCACAAGGCTTGATCCTTGATCCTTCTCTACCTTGTCCCCAGGTGATCTCATCCAGCTACAGGCCTTTAAATACCAATCTGCTTATGTTTCTCAAATGTCTATCTCTAAGCCCTGAATTCCTTACTGGAATATTCACCTGCTATGTGACAAGTTCTATATGAATATCTTGTTAACATCTCAAAGTTGTCATGTTTAAAACTGAACTCACTTTATTTCCCACTCCCGTCTCTCAAAACCTTTTCCTCCCCCAGTCTTCTCTATCTCAATAGAGGGCACACTGGCCCGCCAGTGGCATAAGGCAGAGACTTAGGAGTTATTCTTCATCCCTCTCTCCCTCACACCCTACAATGTATCAACCACTAAGAACTATTTTACCTTCAAGACACGTCTCAAATAGTCTACATCTCTTGGGCTCTACATTTTACCACCCGACCAAGTCACCACCACCTTTCACTTGAAACACTACAAAAGCCTCTCCTCTGTTCTCCCTTCTTTACAATTTTGCGTCCTCCAATCTCCTCTCATATGAAATCCTAAGTAGTCTTTTAAAATCATAACTCTGATTAAAAGTACCTGAACTGTGTAAATGGCTCTGTAAAAGAAGACTCCAATGTCTTCTAATTGTATTTAGAATAAAATTCAAGCATCTGCAAGTGTATGTATATTTGACTCTTGCCTCTTGCTACTCTCCTGTTCTCCCTCTATACCTTACTTCCCTTCACTTCCTTGAAAATGCTGAGTCTTTTCTATGTCCAGAAACATGCTGTTTTCTCTTCCCCACTCCTTCTAATCCTTCAGGGACCAACTTAAATGTCTCCTCCTTAGGGAACCCTGTCTTGACCACCATATTTCAATACTGTCCCCCATTCCCTTTACTCTCTATCACTGTACCCTGTTTACTTCCCAGCACTTCATATGTACATATTTGCTTACTTACCCACCCACTAGACCGTAAGCTTCATGAGTACAGAGATGGTACCTTCTTTATTCCCAAATAAAATGTAAATCTGGTACCTCCTGCTGTGCCAATGAATAATAAACAAGCTCACCCATCCAACTATCTCCATCCTTACAACAACAAAAATAACAACAACATATTGCTTATCTTTGTGTTTTTACACGGATAATGATTTAAATATCATGGGACAGAGTGCCCTAGCAAAGGCTTTTGAAACTGGGATGGATAGAAGCTAAAGAAAATGTCTTAACGATTGCAAAAAGTGCTCTGTTTCTCAAGGGGTAGTAGGTTGTTTTAATCTTGGGGAAGGCAGTTTTCTCAATTTGGGAGAACTATTAGAAGAGGACCTCTACTTTCACATAAGTAAATCAGGTTCTTACCAAATTTTGTTTGGGAAAACTTTGAAGTCCTCATTGAGCTAAACCATACATACTTTAGTCTGGATGCTAAGTGCTCCAGGCAATCTGAACCATTAAGAATAATTAAAGCAGAGGGATGTCTTTGCAAAAAATATTCCTCACCCCTTTTTATGGGTTAGGGCACAAGTGTTTTATCAGGTTGGTGGTATATTGCACTTTGCCTGCAATTATCTCTTGTTCTTCAAAAGGCCTGGGTACATTCTTTTGTAAACAGAAGCTCACTGAGGCAATGAGGACTGTAGAAAGTCAATAGCGAGGCTATTATCTAGTTCTATTATATAGAGAACTTACTACAAGTCAGGCACTAGGCTAAGAACCTGGTAGATATTGTCTCAGTTTATTTTTTGACATGTCTTTGAGGTAAGTAGTCTCTTTGCCCCATTTTATATTTGAATAAAACAAGACTCAGAGTGGCCGAGCTACTCTTTTTTTTTTTTTTTTTTTTTTTTTTCAGATAGAGTCTCGCTCTTGTGGCTGAGTTACTCCTAAACTGTGATTTATTAGGTTGGTACAAAAGTAACTACAGTTTTTGAAATTAAAAGTAATGGCACCCACCCAATAGCTACTTTTGCAGCAATCAAATAGCTGCTTAGCAGCAGAGCCAGATATTCAGCTGAATTCTGGGCACTGCTAAGGGGTATGTTAACTAGGCAGCATTAAGTGCCATAAGTTAAGGAATGTCATAGGTTAAGGAGTGACCTTCACCATGTGCTGGAAGAGAGACACTAACAAAAACAACTCAACTGGACTGGACTGGTGGGGCACTGTCCTACACAAGATGTTGTTAAAGGCTGAATGCATTATTAACCAGTATGTGCTGAGCCATCAGCCTGCTGGGACCGGTGAGCAACACCTTGTTCTTGTGGATGGGGTGGGCTTCCTCCACAGGAGAAGCCATTTCCACTGTTCACTGTCTTGGAAATAGGTTGCTTCTAGAAAAGGAAGTAATGTTTGGGGAGGTGGGCCTTAGACTGGAGAAACTAGAAATTGGAGATACTTTGGTTTCTTGACCCCCAACTTCTGGATATAACAAGAATCTAGCCTCTCTCATTCATTCATTACTTAATATCTGTGGAATTATATTTCTGGTTACAGGCTAGTGAGAACTTTTCTTGTTTAAGGTGACATTTTTTACTATAACTGGCATTTTGTGTTTGTATTTTTTGTCAAAAACCCTTAAGATGCTGCGGCAGAAATCCAACTTAACTAGCTTACGCAGGAATGGGAATTTTTTGACCCAATGGCCTAGAAAGGCTAGAAGCCTGGGGCTCAAATGTCTCAAGCACTCCATGAAGCTCCCCCACCCCCCTCTCCTGGCTTTGCTATTCTTTGTGCTAGCTTCTTTCTTAGGCAGATTCTCCCATGTTGTGGCAAAAATGGTCCTTGCAAATCCTAAGTTTTACTCTCTTTACAGATAGCAATTCCAGATGAAGTATAAGAAAGGGTCACTTTCCTAAAAGCTCCCACAAAAATCCCAGAGAGGCTTTAGGAGTGACTTGGTTTAGGTCACATATCCCCACCTGAACCAATCAGGGTTCAGGCTAACAGGATGGGGCCAACCTGAGCTGGGTACCAGAGGAGGGGAGATAATGCAATTAGACAGCCCCTCCAGGCAGGTAGGTCCTGAAAGAAAATCATGTTGAACTGACAAAAAAGAAGCATATGTCCCTTATTAAAAGAAAAAAAGGGATGACAAGAAGCAGAAAAAAGGTTAAAATGTGTTGATTCCAAAATAACCGAGGAGCTGGCACACAATTGAAAATATACCACAAATAATAGGAGTGTCCATGGTTTCTGGAAGATACAGAAATGATTCCTAGAGCTGAAGCCCAGAGAGATACAACCTGAGACGATGTCATTCCCTTCAGTACCAAGGGAGAAACAAAGACTGGTCACAGATTGGAATTTAAGATGCAAGGGGGAAAAGGTGTCCATAAAAAACAATCACAGATGTTAGGTTTGTCCTCTATTATTTCTTCTAAATTAAATTTCTAGGCAGAGGATCCGTATTTTTAAATATTTGAACGAGTTCTGAGCTAACAGCAACTACTTTCCCTAAAGCAGAATACCAGGGGATCTACATATGATCAAAGTGACATGAGTGTTTGCGTGTAATATTCAGGGTGGCCAAAGACAGAGAGAAAGAAACTGCGTGTTGATGATGATCTTGAGATGCCATCTGACTCCAAAAGTTTGTGATCAGGCCCAACTGATATCTCAGCCAGTCAGTCTCTGGAACAGCAGCCTGACTGTGGAATCCTGTTAAAAATCAATCTCAGAGAGCAAGGCAGATTTCATAGGCTATACATGATCTGGTATTAAGTATGTAAGTGACTTCACTTCAGAATTCCTTAAAAATAGGAAAGGGCATATAGATAGGGACAACATACAAACAGAGGGAGAATGAGAAAAGGATTGGGGAATATATTGCACCTAGCACCTTACTTTCACAAACAAAGAAACTTAAGAGAGGAATGTATGGAACTCCATAAGGCACACAGTAGCCAAGGGCCTCCTTTAGCACATAGTGACCTCATCACAGAGGGATGATCCCCATGGCTTTAGCCAAAGGACCAGCAGAAAGATGCCTCTGATTTTTAGCATTTCTGGTTATCATCTTTCCTTCACAGTGCCCCAGTCCTTTGCCCATAGCCATCCTCATAGTGCTGGGAATCTCTTTCAGTGGACAAGACATCTAACAATGTGAAAAGGAACAAAAAGTACAGAATAGGTGAGAAAAATGCAGAGGGCTATGTAAGTGATGCAGGGGAAAGGTAGAGTGCAGCTGCCTATCTCAGCCAGCCCCTCAAGGGGGCTAATCGGTTCCATATGAAATTGTCAAAACAACTGTTCCATTGAAACTTAAACACCAGCCATCATCCCTGTTATATTGTTTTGTAGGCGCCACTCATCTTTCAACTTCAAGAGCTAAGACATTATATCGCTTAGTTTTGAAAATATACTAATAAATACCATACCTTGCAGATTCATTTTAATCAGCCCTGTCTTGAAATAGCTGTTTACTAATTTTGCATAATATAATTAAATTCCCAAACACTGCACTTAAGAACCACTAAAGATGTGACTTATCCTGATGAGAGTTGGGAAATTCCAAATTTAGGATGTCTACAATCCCTAGTGTTGTGAAAATAAGATTCTCCACAAGAAGAGCAAATTGGAATGAGAATTAAAGAGTACAGTTTCCCTTTTATTAAATATTACAATACATAAAGCATACAAAAGGCAGGAGGCTCAGACAGGTTGAGAATCTGGTTCAACATTTTCTCCCCTGGTGAATCCAGTACACAAACACTGATTTTGGCATTAGGTTTCACAAGCTCCTAGCTGCAAGGGTTTACAGCAAAAGGAAGAGAGGTGTGGTGAAGTGAGTTAATAATTTCTTCCACCTTCCAGACTACTGATTCTTTCTCTTTCATTTAATGTCTCTCCCTCCACCCACCCTCCACCATCAAGCAGGACATCCTTAATTTCTCCCTCTTCCCTTCACATATTTTGACAGTCTCTTATCCATCCCACATGGCCTTTGTCCTAGTGAGCCCCTCATCATGTTATACCTTATCTGGTTTATTGCAAAGGTCTCCCAATTAGTTTCCCAGCCCCCAATATCTTTTTACTCCAGTCTTTGCTACTCATGCTGTCGAATTAACCTCTAAGAGTTGTATATTTCACTTCCGCTACTCAAATCCCACCAATATTCTTTCAAACTCTTGCAGGCCACATTTCTAATACATTTTGAATGCTCCTCTACTCAAATGCCTCTGCCTCAGTTGAATTGATCTTCTTTCCCCCTAAAAAAGTAGGTAAATGACCTAGACAGTGCTTGGTACATAGAGGGGAGAATAAGAAATATTAGTTTATTCTGCTTGGGATAAAATAAAGCTATTATACTCCTAGACCTTTGCCTGTATCTTCCCTTTTATGTAATGTACTCCATTCTCTTAGCTGCCTGTCAAAATATGGTCTTTTTAAAAAAAGATAAAGTTTCACCTCTTCTGTGAAGCCTTTCCTATTCAGCCATTGTGATTATTCCCTCTCTAACCTTCTGTAGCAGTTGCTTCTCCATAGCACCATTTGGTTCCAGTCCAAGGGAGAAGAAGTTGGGGTATTTGCCCACTAACTCCCATGTAGCACAGGTTGAGAGCTGCTTCTGGGAGCATTGGCTCCCTGGCATGTTGGCCTGTCCCATGAATTGACCAAGAATGATTTCAGTCCCCCATCAACTGGTGCCCCCCCCCCCCAAACCCACTGCAAGAAAAAAAAAAACAAAAACATTCAGCCAGAAGAAAGTCTTGCAGGTCTTGCAATAGAAAGCTGTGGAAATGTAAGGACATATTGAGGTCCTAGGAGCATGGGAGGGGCATCCTTCCATGGTGTCTTATTGTAGGGAAGTACTAAAAGTTTCCCCAGGGAGCCTCTTATATGTCAGATGGCCTCTTTCCAGCTCCCATGCTGTAGCAGTCACCCTAACCCCTCAAAATGTCAGTGTCAGCAAGTGACTTTAAGAACCCCTTTCTCTGCCTGCTAGACCACTGGCAGGAGGCACCAAAATGCCTAGGCAGTAGTGGATTCGTATGATGTTCTGTGGAATGTCAAGATAACCAAGATCCTTTGGATTATATTCTGTCAAAAAGCAGTAACCACCACCCTGGGGTAAGGCTCTGATTGAGTACAGCTGTTCATCCCAGGTGACTGGAAACTGCTTTTGATCCTAATTCCTGATGCAACCTGAAGGGTATATATGCCAAATAAATAGTCCACATACCAAGTGCCCAAGTGTGAGACGCTATGTAGATATGTTCTAGAACATGTCAACACTGATACGACACTGCATCCAGCATAGCTGCTGTGATTGAGGCTACTATTTGATTAAGCTTACAGTGGTCAACCATAATTTGCCATGATCTACCTGGATTTTTTTCAAGGGCTAGGTTGGCATATTAAATGCAGTACCTTGGGCTTATACTCTGAAGCTTGTCTACAGAATCTTTGACATCTTAATGGAGATACTAGGAATGAAAAACACAGCTGCTTTCAACAGGGAAGAGTTGGAGACTTGGATCCACTTAGATGGTTTGATCTGAGAAAACTACAAGAATCAACCATTGATTTACGTAAATGATAGATACCATTACTAGAAATATAAGGGTTGTGAAATGCTCTGGCTATACATTGTCAAATGGTTGAAAAGTTACCTATGTGAGAAGCAGCAAAAACTGGCAAGGTAAGGGGCTGGGACCTCAAAGTAGGAAGCAAGAATGGTGGTGTAAGCCTAGGTCCTAAACTTATTCATGAGAAGTAGCTGTGGTCACTTCTGGACCAGGCTGGATAAAGCTTAACCTTGACTGTATATCCTACACATGGTATTTAGACTGAATAAGTCAGACATAGGGAAATACACTTGTGTTTTTTGTTTTGTTTTGTTTTGTTTTTAGACAGGGTCTCGCTTTGTCGCCCAGGCTGGAGTGCAGTGTCGTGATGAGATCAGGGCTTACTGCAGCCTTAACTTCCCCGAGCTCAGGTGATTCTCCCGCTGCCTGAGCAACCCCCCACCCCCCTAGTACCTGGGACTACAGGTGCAGGCCACCAGGCCCAGCTAAGTTTTGTATTGTTTGCAGAGATGGGGTTTCGGCATGTTGTCTTGGCTCAAAGCAATCCACCCGCCTCAGCCTCCCAAAGTGCTGGGATTACAGACATGAGCACCTGGCCACACTTGCGTATTCTGATATCATTTCTCGGTGGAGATAAAAAGTCAGGGTTGGGCCTTCCCTGAGGGACTGGTTGTTTCCACTCTCAGTCATCCTGGGAAGAGTCAGCTCCTAGGACAAGATAGAGATTATAGACAGGTTTCCAAGGACATAATACTTTGAGAAGAAGATAAGCATATGAGCAGTGATTATTAAAATAAATAATTATAAGAAAAAAAAACCAGAACTGAGTTATCATTATTTTCATCACAAGTTTAGCTGCCCAAGCAGGTTTAGCCTGCAATCCTATGAACCAGTTCCACAGAAGGGAAACACACAACCCTTATCAAAGACCCACACAACTAAAAAGCAACTGTTTCATCCTACAAAATAATTTCCAAGATGATAGAAACTATGCCAAGAAGAAATGGACTAAGGTCAAGGATAGAGGAATGAGCAAAAGAGCTCAGAAAAAAAAAGGCAGTAGTTACACTGACTTTACTCCTCTCAAAACCTTTGATGGAAAAGACCAACTCTTCATGGACAGTCAAGTATTTATAGTGATGCTGCTGGAGGCTCTTTGAGGTTATAGTAGGTTATTACTGACCAGCTCAGGGAACTAACTTGCAGGGACAGGCCTTTGTCTGCATCTTCTCTAGTAATAACCCCCTCCTACTGCTCATGGGATCCATCAGGGGCCTGTGCAAGGCATTGGATTTCTACAACCCCGTCATCAGAATGTAGAATTTTCTCTCCATGCCTCTTAAGGAATTTTGTTTTATGACATCATTTGATTTTCAGTGTCCCATCTCCACTGATTTCCAAGGCAAATAAACCTACTAAAGCTCATTAGAAAACCAACACTTCATGCAGTTACAAAACCACCCCTATCTATAGGGACTATGCTCTTAGGTATTATTAGGTAATATTAGGTATTATTCTACCACCACTGGATAGATCTTAATTATTGCCAAGTTTATAATAATAAAAAGTAAGTACATTAGTTCAGGCTTCATATCACATTAAAAAATGCTAAACATTACACCTGTGAACTGGTCACTTCTTTTCACAAATGTGTCCCTTTTTGCCTTTGTTCACAGTGCTGCCAAATGTTATACTTTCGTCTGATGCGAATGGATGTGCCTCTACTTGGTCTACTCTCAGCAGCTGTGACCATCATCTAAATGAATATAAGAATTGAATTAACATGGAATGAGTGCCCACAGTGTCCTGAACTATATTAAAAATGATGATTGATGGCTCTGTGGAGTAAGTTCCTATTTTCTTTGAAGCTCAAAATCTGTGTGAGGAATAGATTAAAACTATCTCATACATAGTTTACCTCCCAATTGTGAACTAATAAGATGGATAACTCATAAGAGTACTATATCTGATTCTGGAGTTTATTTCTTTACTAACTTGTAGAGGTGTGGATAGATTTTGAGAATTCATAAAACTTTAATCAAAATAACAAAACCACTATGTGAAGCTCTGTCTCTGCCAGGAAGTTGTTCAGTTTCCTCTTGGTATTTCATTTCAGACTGAGGAAGCTATCCCTGTATTCGTTGGGACCCACAGAAAATAGAAGGCATGCTCTGATGGGGTTTCTGAAGAGATTGTAATGAAAGACTTTTTTGAAGAGGTTTGGGTGTGATCAAGGAAATCTATAGGCAAAGCTGAGGACTCCAAGGATAGTACCAGGGCAAGTCAGTACCACCCTGAGACCTGAGCCCTGACAGAGTGAGGGAAGATACATGTCATTGGATCCTGGGAGAGCTGAAAGAGAGTAAGGGGGTTTGCTGGGGAGGCAAGATCATCAGGGAGGGATGCATCTACCCCTACGGCTGCAGTTCCAAGCAAAGGGAGTGGGGAAGACATACTCTGACCTCTCTCTTCCTGCTCTTCCATCTCTTGCATTGCTTCCCACTGGCCAAGTCCAACCGGCAACCAGAGGGCAATGGAACCCAGATGATGGAGCCTGTGGAGGTCAGGATAGAGGAGGTAGAGAATGGATCTGAGGAAGGGCAAAAGGTGAATGACCAACACAATCACCATCTAGACTAACACAAAATGCCACCCTCTATTGAAGTGTCTTTTCTTGCTCTAAGATAGTATTTCCCCAAATATATTCCAGATGGGCGCTCTGTGTTTGGGGGATTTGGGGAGAGGAGAATTTCTTGTGCATACATTCATTTGGGAAACACTGGATTAACACATTAAACTCACACTAAACAGAAATCTTTACTCAAGGACTTTTCAAAGCTCTACTATGTACATAATTTTTTAACAATAATTATTGAGAGTTATGATGAGCCAGGTTCTGGGCCTGGCTCGTGATACAATGAATAGGACAGATACCCACACTTGCAGGACTCACAAACAAGTGGAGCACAGACAATAAGCAGTAAACCAAAAACTAATTAATTACAAAGTGTCTGATGAAGCTCCCAATGGTAATGAAATGTGCAGCATATCTCATACATTATTTAGCTTCATAAATCTTTGCTTCTGGAAATCTTTTGGAAGGTGAAAGACTCTCTTTGAGAAAGACCACTCTAAGTTTTTATCAACTATTGGTTATATATTTTGGTCTGAAATTTACATGATTAAATGCTGGATATCTAGTTTTTGATAACAGCTTTTCACCCTGCTACCCCTACACAGTCAATCAAAGAGCAAATCTCATATTTACAGAAAATGGGGAATGGGAAGATAACACAAAAAAGGAGAGGCAAAAAAGGAGAACACAAAAAAGAAGAATCTTAGTTGTCAAAGCCATTTAAATCAACTTAGCATTTTTCTTGCAATGTAGACTTTTCCTTGGAGTCCATCCTATAAGGCAAGGTGATATTGTTACTAAAGTTAGCATTAGGGTGGATGTGCATGAAGAAGGTAAACCTACTTCCAGGTTTTAAAGTAAAGTCCGCAGGGGTTCAACAAAGATGGAGAAAGCAACTGTCTGGGGTCATTTGTTCATAACACACATGTACATGACTTTTCGTTAGAAAGGTCTTCACAGGAAAATGTATGGCTTGTTTGTCATAGATGTGATTTGGTGCCCCACCTCTATTCTCTTTACTGGGCCTGTGCATGCCACCCCAGCTGTGAGTATTGCTTGCTATTGCCTCCTAAGAGTTCACAGCTGCCTCTTCTCCAGCCTCCTCTGCCTTCCCCTCTTCTAAGGGGCAAGTGCTCTTGAGTGTTTTATGCCAGAGGTGCCAGTGAATCAGGCCAAGCCTCCACTTTTCCTGGGCCACATCCTTGCTGACTCTTTCCCCTTCACTCCTTCCCTCATAAATTCTTCCCAAATAGCCTTTCCATAGTTGTGGTCCCCTGTTTTCATCAGGCTCCACAGGAAACTGGAATCAGAAGAGATTTGGAAAAAGTCACCCAGCAAGGTAATGCCAGGACATGAAAGACACCATCAGCCTCTTTATACTGTGCTCACTGGTCTTTCCATTTGCCCCATGGAGATCTAACACATTTGCTCATTTAATAGTTTTCCATTTTGATTTATCTTCAAAAAGAATATATGTGCAGAAAAGCTTATTGAACTAGCTGTTCTCCACACCTATGAGAAGCTATTATCCACATTTATGAGAAGCTAAGCTGTTTAGATCATTTGTCATGATTCTTCTGTTGACCATTGATGCAAATTATAGACATAAATATCTATGAAGAAAATTTAAAATGTGAGCTTCCAAGACCAGCAAACTCTTTAAAGTGATAGCAAAGGTTACAATCTTTAAAGAATCTTTGCCACATATTAAATATTGTTAGCGTATATAAGCATTTGCATTGCATATTATGATTTATAATACACTATCATAAATATTTTATTCATCCTCCCAGTAACCGTGTGCCTGGAGTAAAGTATTGGAATCTCTATTTTATAAATGAAGAAACTGAAGTTCAGGAATATTAAGGGACTTGGTCAATGTCTAATAGTGATTAAGTTGCATAGTGAAAATTTGACAGGTTTTTTATTAGCAAATTTTGAGGCTTTCTACTTTATTGCCTATTTTATCTACTTTGTCATATTTTATCATTTCTTAAATTGTTAGACCTTACAACATCAGTGTATCATTTAGTCATCATAAAACTCTGTAGTACTATTTGTATTCTAGAACACAGGACCTTCTAGAATTTCTATGGCATAACAAAACAGACTGCATAATTAAACATTTATCCTATTTCTAGGAAGTTGATGTGTCAAATTTTTATTTCTCTCCACTTGTTATAAATTTGATTTGTGGTTCTATAAAATTAATGTCCATTGATTTCTTAGAAAACAGTGCATTCCCTACACAGAGGGTTTGGTTTTCAGAAGAACCAAACAGTACATCATTATTGATTATGTATTGCCTTCTTAAGAGCTGTTGAGAATGTGAATACTTTTCTAAATGGCTACACAGACATAACACTTTATTTAATTCATTTCCAAAATTCAGCCAGTCTCCTAGCCAACTACAACATAGTTTAGTTTAGAAATATCAAAATATTGTTTCAGAAAAAAAAAAATTCAAGTAAGAAAATATTGCCCAAGTGTTAGCCTTTATATACAGAGAAAATATATGGTTTCAACTTGGTAGGAGAAAATAGAAACCATTTCTTCTCTGTGGGTTAAAAGAATATACCCTCCATGTACAGTATCTTCTTGAGTCTGTGCAGTTAAAAGTGACAATGGGACTGTTGATGAGCCAGAGAGAGAACACAGAACTATTGAGGGTCTCATGCGTATCTTAAAAATTATCATTCCAAGTGCCTTATGCACTTACTTCTAACTCTAGGCATGCATGAAAACAGCCAAGCAAATTTCATGTAATTGCCATACTCTTACAGTTCCAGAGGGAAATTACTGATCACAGTTATTTACTTAAACACAAATGGGAAACTAAAGTAACCTCAGGGTCACACTGAAACATCCCTTGACTTGGGTTACAACTTCAAAATTAATGGGAAAGAGCAGGCAGTAAGGTCATTGGGGTGCACTGAGCAGCCTCACCATAATTAAAGACCTGCAGGCAGACAAATGACATTATCCGCTGCTCTGGGAGGGGAGACAGTTTACCCATTCCAGCAGATCTCTAAACATCAGTAGCTGTGAGTTCTTGCCATATGGTTCTATGCCTTTAAGAAAGCAAGCTTCCTTCAGTGTTGTCGATGAACTGATAGTCATGGGCAGTCTTTTTCATTACTTTTAGATCTTCAGTAATCATGCTACCAAAGGATTTAAATATCATCCCCCGCTTCAGGCACCACACACAAAAAGTATCCATAGGCCAGGCACAGTGGCTCATGCCTGTAATCCTAGCACTTTGGGAGGCCAAGGTGGGCGGATCACCTGAGGTCAGGAGTTTGCGACCAGTCTGGCCAACGTGGTGAAACCCTGTCTCTACTAAAAAATACAAAAATTAGCTGGGCGCGGTGGTGCGACACCTGTAGTCCCAGCTATCGGGAGGCTGAGGCAGGAGCTTGAACCCAGGAGGCAAAGGTTGCAGTGAGCTGAGATTGTGCCACTGCACTCCAGCCTGGGTGACAGAGTGAGACTCTGTCTCAAAAAAAAAAAAAAAAAAAAAAAAAAAAAAAAAAAAAAAAAGGTATGCATGTACAATTGGCTCTAACAAGCATAGAGAGCTTAACTCTGCAATTTTCAAACAAACAGAACTTGCATGTTGATCGAGTCACTCAGAGCCAGAGATCTAACCTAGATTCTTGGAAGTACAATACTATTTGGAAGATTATTATAATAACACGATGAAGTAAGAGTTAGAATAGAACAAGAAACACATGACGAGCCCAGCCAACCAAACCCTACTACCAGTTCTGCCACGTGAACACATTCAAGCAACAATTTAAACCTGTGGATAGGCTGAGATCATTGCAGTCATCTGGCTATTCATTATGGCTGGGTTTGGGTCACTCTGTGAGCAGTCTTTCCCCAGAGGTGTGTCTTCACACA